ACACACACACACATATATATGTATGCATACATATACATTTTATACATACATATATACACAAATGTGATATATGTATCACATTTTCCTTATCCATTCATCTGTTCACGGGTACCTAGGTTGGTTTCTTAGCTGACTAATGTGAGATGCACTGATGGAAACATTGTTGTAGCTGCATCACTATAGTATAATAATTTTAATCTTTTGGATATAAGCCAAAGAGTGAGACAGCTGAGTGATATGGTGGTTCCCCCTTCCTAGTTTTTAGAGGAACCTCTATACAGCTTTCCAAGGTGGTTGCACTAATTTGCAGTCCCACCAACAACGTGTGTGAGCACTTGTTTTCCATAACTGGATTAAGAAAGCTAATGTAACAGACAGTTCAATTTTCATAAGAGAGATCATGCAATATGGATCCCCAGTAGGTAAAATCGTATTTTTTAAGTGTACAAATCTCGTGGTATGCCAATTTTATTCTATTTTTTAAAAGTCAGGCACAGTTGTATGTTTGGACAAAAGTATATCAATTAAGAATAGAGGTATACAAAAACCAAATAACCCAATCAACAAAGGGGAAAGGAACTGAATAGGCACTTCACAGAAGAAGAAATATGAATGGTCAACAAATATATGAAAAAAATGTTCAACATCTCTAACAATGAGAGAAATGCAAATTAAAACTAAACTGAGATTCCATCCCACTCCAGTCAGAATGGCAATTGTCAAGAATACGAGTAACAATAAATGTTGCCAAGGATGTAGGGGGAAAGGTCCACTCATACAATTCTGGTGGGAATGCAAATTGGTGCAACCACTCTGGAAAGCAGTATGGAGATTCCACAGAAAACTTGGAATGAAACTTCCATTTGACTTGGTTATGCCACTCTTCAGTATATACCCAAAGAACTTAAAATCAGCATACAGTGTGATGCAGCCACGTCGATGTTTATTGCAGCTCTATTTACAATAGCTATGAAACCAACCTAGGTGCTCTTCAACAGAGGAATGAATTAAGAAAATGTGATATATATATATATATATATATATATATATATATATATATGTAATATATTACTCAGCCATAAAAAAGAATGGCTTTATGACTTTTGCCAGTAAATGGGTGAAACTAGAGACTCTCATGCTAAGTGAAATAAGCCAATCCCCCAAAATCAAAGGCCAAATATTCTCCGTGATAAGCAGATGCTAACACACAATAAATAGGAGAGGGAGAAATAGAAGTTCATTGAATTAGACAAAGGGGAATGAAAGGATGGGAGAAGAGACGGGAATAGGAAAGACAGTAGAATGAATGAGACATAACTTTCCTATGTTCATGTATGAATACACCACCAGAGGCTGGAGTTGTGGCTCAATGGTAGAGCACTTGCTTAGCATGTGTGAGGCACTGGATTCAATTCTCAGCACCACATAAAAATAAAGGTATTGTGTCCACCTACAACTAAAAAAAAATTTTTTTAGTGAATATACCACCAGTGAAGCTCTACATCACGTACAACCAAAAAAAATGGGATCCTAATTAGAAAAAGTTATATTCCATATATGTGCATTATATGTCAAAATGCACTTTACTCTCATGTATATCTAAAAGGAACTAATTTAAAAGTTTTAAAGGATAGTAGTGTCTGTTAGTAGACATCCCTCCAGCTTCTTTCCAGAGGCTGTGATAAAGGTGGCTGCTACACATACTTTTCCCTAGGACCCAGATTCTTGTGCAGTGTCAGGCTTCACGCATTCCACTTCTTTCTCCAGGGTGTATCGAAGAACTAAAAAGACACGGGAACAGACATGAACCAGAAAAATCAGCATTTTATGTACAACACTAGGAAAAAAGGAAGGTCTTTAAGAAAAGATGTGAGGGTACAGGGAGCCCCTGTAGCTAGCAGAATACATCCTAGCCAGGTCCAAGGCCAGGGAAAATGACCCAGAGCCTTCATCAGCCAGGGTAGCTGACAAGCCAGGAGGGTCAAGCTGAGTGTCCACAAAGTTCTCCTCTGCCCTCCATATTGGTTTGTCTTAGATCCATCCTTGTTGAGAGTGGGCTCTGGAACCTGGATTCTAGTGTGGATATGCTAAACCCAAAGTTCTCTCCATACCTAGGAGCCCCAGGTCCCACGAACACAACTGGGCCAGGAGTTGTGCTAGCAAAGAGTAAAGTACTGTCCCTGGAGCTCGTGATCCTGGTGGAAAGATGTGCACAGCACCTGGGATCTTGACTGGCAGGGTGTGGGGTGGGGTGCAGAATGGGGTCTGGGTTCAGGTGATACCTACAAGTCCTGTCTGCGTTGTGCTGCCACTCAGTGGTTGAGTTGAGGGAGAGTTTAAGCCCATCACTGGGGCTGAGCTTCCCAGGTTGCCCAAAAAGAAGGAGTTGTACAGTCAGTCACTGCCCACCAGCCTGTGGGCCAAGGAGTGGGCTCTTGGGCTACTAGGATGTTGGAGAGTAGAGCTGGGTCCCTGCACCAGCTGTACACACCAACATGTGGGTAAAGGGAGGGAGGCAATGCTGCCACAGGGTAGGAGGTTCAGTATGGGCTGACATCGCTCTGGGAGACAGGAGGGGACTGGAAGATGACAGCCTTGGACTGAGGGGTAGTATCCATAGCATCATTTATGGCAGGCGTGAAGGATGATGGTATAGAGGGAAAAGGCAAGTGCATGATGGATAACTGGGAATCTGATGAGCACAGGGGTGTTGAGGAACCACAGAGGGAAGACTTCAAGGGCCATAGGTGGAGAGAAACAAGGGGCAGGCAGAGTGCTGGTACAGGCTGCTGCATTCTCTTGTTTTACCCTCCAAGGCCTCCGTGTCACCCTCCATGATACTGCTCTTCAGAGCCAGAACCTCACAGAGTGCCTAAATCTTCCTCCATAGAGCCAAGAGGACACTTAGAAGGTGTGGCAGCTCATCTCAATGCCACTGGTTGTGGCAGAGGCAGCTACAGGGCCATTGGCATGGGTGTCTTTCTGTTGGGGGGCCTCTGGCTAGCAGCCATGGGTGGAGGATGGCTCCCTGACGGGTTGGCAGAAGATTTCCCCCTGCACCGGCTCTCCTGACTCCTGGGAGCCTGGTGAGCTGGGCAGAAAGTCTTCATCCAACCCTTTCTTTACCCACTGGAAGCAGGCGGCATCCTGGTGTTTGCGCAGGGAGCACTGCTGCCTCTGCATCAGGCTGCACCAAAGTCAGCACACCTGCAACAGTGCTGAGCCACCTGGGGCAGCATGGCTGGCAGAGCAGATAGTCACTAGAGACACCTGTTCCCACTCTTGCTTGGTGTGTCCCTCCTGAGGCCAAGGAGCTGGCTCCAGGGCGGTGAGTTCTTCCTGTGTCTCCAGAGGCTTGGAGGGCGCTACTTCCCCATTGATAGGGGCTCCGGTTTCCTATTGTCCTGCATTTCTCTCTGCTTCCCTCCTCCTCCTCCTCCTTTTCCTCTTCCTCCTCTTCCTCCTCCTTCTCCTCCACATCCCCCTCCTGGGCCCCACCAGCAGCTGCCACTGCTGCTGCAACAAGTTCCAGGGGCTGCTCTTGGGCCCTCGCCTCTGATTTTCCAAGGAAAAGGGAAGTGTGTGACCAGGTGCCACGGGCATCCCAGTGTGGTTGACTTGCTTAGGTGGTAAAGCATTACGATCAGTCTGGGCCCGGGAGGAGGATTCCTTAGGTTCTGGAAGGTTAAAACATCTCCGAGTTGCTAGTGACAGCACAGGCTTTTTCCTGGGACCTCCCTGGAGCCAGCGAGAAGATCCCCAGAGAGGAGTGCGCCTCCCTTAGGAGAGGGCCTATGTACCAGCTCTTCTTGGCGGAAGAGTCTTCAGACAGGGCTGATGGCAGATGCTGGGGCAGCAGGGTGATCCCGCCCAGGATCTGGGGCCTGGCAGATCAGGCCAATGGACAGGCGATTGTCCCACAGGGCCGGTTGGTCCGTGACCGCGCTTGCTCAGGAGACTGCCCATTCGGAGCACAAGATGCAGGTCCAATCCGGAGAGAAGAGACCAAGGGAGCTGGGCTTGGACACCGCCACCTTCCGTTGCCCAACCGTGCACTGTTGAGTCCGGTTCTTGTGATGTAGGGCTGGAACAGGTGACAGGGAAAGGGCACGCCGGGAGCTCCTTGACAAGAACTGTAGGTCAGGAGAAGGCGCCACAGGGCAAAGGGCGGGGCCCGGGCCCACCATCTGCTTCTGGGCTGCACTTTGTAGCTCCAGGGGAATCACTTTCCTCTAAGGTCTGTGGCACCGCAGGGACCACTATGTTCAGACTCTTGGGACTGCGGCCAGATCCCATATAACTCCTGGGTTCCAAGGCTCCATGGTGCCTGGCCCAGGGCACTAGCTTTGGCACCCACTCAGTGTATGTCGCCAGCCCTCTCTTAAGGGCCATCAAGGGGGACAGGGTGGGGTAGGAGGGATGCTGGAATGTTGAAGACCAGTGCAGGTAGTGCTGAAAGTCCAGCCCCAGGGCAACTCAGATTCTGCTAGACCCCTCAAGAGACATAGCCAGTTGCTGGCGTCTACCTTGGTCCTCAAGGCATGTTCTCTAAAGGTCAGTGCCTTATCTGCTGTGCCTGGGCTTCTGAGGTGCAGAGCAGTGACTTGAATTACCACCTGCCCTATCCATTCCCACTAATCAGAATCTCTTCACATCTTTGAAGGCATCCAGTAAGAGCACAGTGAAGCCCCACCCTCTTCCTGAGGTCAGGCACCTGTGGTAGTGGCCCAGCCAGGCCTTGAATCCGACATCTTGCTCTGTGGTGCCTCCATAGATGATATATTTAACATGTAATACCCTTTTCTTTTCTGTAATCTTTGAGTCTCCAGTACCATGTCCGGTGAACAAGGAGCACATGCCTCCCTCCCAAGGAGGAGGACAACTCATGAGCTAACCAAGACCCACAGGAGGCTCCAGTCTCAGAAGATGTAGGGTGCCAGTTGTCAACAGAACATCTTCTCTCCACCCCTCTTCCAGTTGAGCCCTGTAGCCCAGATTTCTTCCTGGCTGAGTTGGAAAGATCCAAATATGGAAAGGTAGTATTCTAGATCCATTTGGGTTCAGGCTGAAGGAAACTCAGCCATGTTTATTCCATATAGATAAGAAGCCAGTTGGTATGGCCTCCCTAGAATAAGTTTAGGAAGCAAACATGTCATTGATTCTCAAGCTGATAGGGGGGCAATGTGTTGGATTCAAGTGAGATCCACAAAATGTGTTCTTTTGAGCATGCCTGCTGGGCCCACTCTTCACCGTATATTACTGAATCCATAATAACATTTTTGGTATCCAAGAGAGGAGACATCCTCTTGGGGTGTCAGAACAAGGGAAACAGATAATTGTCTTAGGATCTGGGAGCTTCAACTTGATGAGAAAGATTTGGAAAACCACTTGACTTGATGGAGACTGATCTTGTTTCTCTGGCTTCCTTCATCACAGGGTTTTTCTCTCTTGTGTTGGTGACTTGTATTATGCACATTACATGCAGAACTTTCAGAACCAGGAATCATAGAGATCAGTAAAAATATTTCTCACGTATGTTTCAGTTTTAAACTCTTTTAACAGTGATACTGCGTACTGTATTCATAGCAAAATTTGCAGCTTCTGCTCATAAGATCCCTTGGGTACTATGTCAGAGAAAGTTTAGACTTGGTCCCCTATCAACTTTAAAACTGGGAGGACGCAAGAGGTTTTGCTCAGACCCAAACTCTGTTAGAAGAAGCTCATCATAAGCTCTTTGTAACCTCTCCAGGAGCAAAGATGATCTACATTTATGACCTTTAAACCATAGTTCCCTGATATCATTCAAAAAGCTTTTTAGAAAAGAAACCAAGTTTTGGGGCTGGGGATGTGGCTCAAGCAGTAGCGCGCTTGCTTGGCGTGCGTGCGGCCCAGGTTCAATCCTCAGCACCACATACCAACAAAGATGTTGTGTCTGCCGAAAAAAGTAAAAAATAAATATCAAAATTCTCTCTCTCTCTCTCTCTCTCTCTCTCTCTCTCT